AAAAAAAAAAAACCAATTCCAATAATGAATATAAAAACAAAAAATTTAACTACCCTACCTACTAAAAACCAAATACTAAACGAAATGAATTCAATCAAAAACAGCAAAACCAAAGCAGCCATATACCGTTACTTATTCAATTACTTTTCGCTCTTTTGCAGCCTAAAAGTAGAACCTTCTTACAACAAGCGTGTAGAATAACTTTTGTTGTCGCATAGCTATTGGAACACGCCTGAAAAAGCATAGTCTACTTTTAGGGCGAAAAACTAATAACAAAAAGTCATTAATAAAAAAAAAAAATAATATTAAATAAGCGAAATAAAAATATAACTCAAATGCAATTGCGTTAAATAAATAAAAAATTTAACTATTTAAAAGCAAAATTGAAATGTTTTCAACGAAGGCTGTTAGCTGGCTTTTCGTTCTTACTCACTCCCTCTTCTGCTGCTCTCTCTCTCTGTCTCTTTTCACTATTTTGATTTAATTCTTGCAGTCTTATCTAGTATGACTTTTTAAAATTTACATATACATTTTCTTAATATTTCCATAAATTTCAGCAGAAGCGTTTTTAAAACTTGGAAATCTTAAATTTCTAGAACTAACATAGGTACACAAAATAATACTTAAATTAAATAAAATAATAAAATAATACTTAAATTAAAGACAAAGAGCAATCAAAGCTGTTTCCGTTACTGATACCTACATACATACATACATATATAAAGTATTTAGCAAAAATGTACTCGACATAAAGAACATACACAAAATTACCTACACAAGTATACAGCGTATATTTCAAATACGATTTTCGAAAAAAGTGGTATACATACATATAGTATTTTCTTGCAGCGAAAATTTTACCGTTCTCAATTTCAAAAAATCTTCAAATGATTTATTAAATAAAAAGAAAAAACAAAAAACTAAATACGTATTTTACGTACAATTAATACGTATATAATAACATACATACATACATATATACTTAGGTACACATACATATGTACAGACCTCTAGTCTTATGTACCAGGTATTACGTATACATACTAAATGTAGTATTTAACTACATACATACTTATGTATACATAACTGTGTGTGTGTAAGTGCAATATCAAAAGAGCAAAAATCGAATATCGTACACAAGTGAATACAAAAAAAAGAAGTCTAAAAATGCGAGGCAAACAAAATATGCTAGATAATGTATGATTGAAGTACATAAAATCACACTCAAGTACATACATATGTATATACATACATACATGCATAGATCGATCAAAAGTCACTTGTGTCATATTGGCAAGGATATGAAACTTTTAACTGTCGCAACAACAACAACCACAAGACCAACAACAGAAACAGCGACATTTAAATGACCAAAAAAAAAAATGAAAATACAAAAATTGCGAAATCAATACCAATTACAAGTACATACTTTACATACACAATTAATTAACAGTTACTCAAAATTAAGAATTATTTATTAATTAGAAATTTTAATTAATTGAACAAATACACAATGAAGATTTTGAACTATGAAACAAATAATAAAATCTTTTAATAGTCAAACTAAGTAATGGAATTTAGCTTTTTTATTGTGGTTCTCGGAAGTTCAATTTTTCCGACTCAAAAGGTAAGTTAAGCCAGTAAGGGGAGAGTGCTGCTGTCTTCGGCTATTAGCATCGTAATTATATAAATATAAGAAAATTACTACACTTTTAGTTTTTCTGCTTGATTGATACTGTAGCCGCCAAAGCAATTTTGGCCGAGTCCAGCGAAGCACACCAGTCATTTCTCAGTCTGTACCAAGTGGG